CAAATTCTTTTAAAGTTTAAAATGAAAAATTACATCAATAACATTTTGATACACATTTTTTGACTGTTTCAAAATTACACACAATAAGATAAAAGTACATACAAAAATCACATAACTGATTATCATACTTCAAAATCAAAATCTTAAAAATCAAGCAATCATTAATTATTTAATTAAACTTTGTGCTACCAAGTTTTTGATTTCTTCAGATATTCAAACTTTTGCATATGACATACGATACAAGCATCAAATAGACAAAAAAATGAAAATAATTTGTTTGAATACTGTGGGGATTACTGTAAAACATGTCTTTTTCAAGAATTTAGCAAGGGAACTGATTCGCTAATTCAAGATGTCGCTAATGACTTTATTATCAATACAAAATGGCCGCCAAACAAAGAAATCAAGATGACAAAAGAGATTCGCTAAATCAACATTTCGCTATTACGTCATTTTACCACAATTCGCTAAAATTGCATGCCGCTTTTTCAACATGTTTTACAGTATTTTCGAATCACATTGTTACTTTTAACTTAACTTATACTTCTAATAATTAATCTTTTCAAAGAGGGAGGGTATAGTTATTAACATTCAGAAGAACATGAATAACCCATAATGACCATGATAATTATTATTACACATTAATCAACTTTTTGTTACAAATATTTGCAACTAAGAGTGGAATAAATACCAGCTTAGTATATTCAATTTGATCTGAGGTACCTCTAAATACAAACACTTAAACACAATCTGTTTACAGGTACAATGGATATGAGGTGATAAACATCACATGATGTCTGAACTTTGATTATGTTGTTGATACAAAGACAATGGATAAAGTCAAACAGTTCTAACACCAATAAAATCTTGCACTAAAAAAAATATTTAAAATCTATTCATTAAAAATATTCTAAATAATAATAAATGTCAGCATAAACTGTTTTAGGAGTGGTTCAGAGGCTGGGGTGGGGTGGGGTAGGGGGTACAATTTCATGCCCTGGTATCCTAAGTCTGTGCCTTACTTGTACATATAAAATATATGACACCCCCCCCCCCCTCCCAAGGTGCCTTCTCTCAAATTCTGTTTAATAATCACAAAGTAACAATATGACATGTTCAGCATGATATCAACAATTAACAGACTCGGTGATGAATATTAATAACTGAATCCTATATGGCCATTTTTCAACCAAGTAATTGGGGGAATGTCACCTTATGGTGATCAAATGTCAATCGAAACAAACAATACATTTTCAGTAATTTTTCTCTTCCCTTTACAAAGTACAACAGAATCCTTATTATTGTTTGTACTGAAGTGTTGAGACGTGGGTTTCAAAATTACAAAATACAAGTTTGTATAACTTCAGGTGGGAAAGGTGGATCGTTTATACCAAAATCAATAGGGAAAATACTCACATACAACATCAAAATATTGGGAAGGATGTACAGTATAATGTTTTTAGAGCACAGTTAATACTAATGTTATTGACTTACATGTGTATGCCAACAGCACTGCAATGTTTTCCTAGTCACAAGTCAACAATTTTTAAACTCCTGTTGATAATGAATGAGCTTTTTTCTGAATTTTCACCCATTTTTGTGAATGCACTTTTTTAAATTGTACATACGTTCATAACTATTAAAGTAGTCATTCATTCTCTGAATTGTGCATGTTAATAAAATAACGACAGTCCAACTCCTAAGAATTGTCACATCAAAGGAGTTAATAATGCAATTGTACGAGTTGCTGTTTTCTCATGTGTCTTTGGTAATATGGAAAAGATTCATATTTAATCTCTGTCTGTTGTATCATCACTTAAAACAGATTTACATCTCGTTTCAAGTGTTGTTGTCGCCATGGTGGAAGCTGATCAAATTCTACCGGACTCATGTGGAATGCAGATATGAAGTCTTCCCGCGACAGGTGGCGCTTTAGAGGGAAAACAATAAGAAAACAAAATAAATAATTAAATAAATTAACTGAAAACAAACATAATCTTTCCATTAATATTTATATTAAACTTTTCAGTAATAAATGTTTATTTGCTCAGGTCCAGCCCACTAATTAGATATTACCATTTTTTTTTTAATTTACTATTAAAATATTACTATTAACATGTGTACATTGAAATATAAACACAAGAAAAGATATCAATGTGTGATGCATATAAATGTGTGTGACAGAGATCAGAATTAATATGTAGAGAGAAAAATGACTAAATTGACATATAGAAGACAGGGTGAAGATTGTCAAGAGATCGGTGCCGACGCTGAAAGAAACAGACAAAACATGAAAGTGAGAGAAGATAGATACCATGTAGTGAAATAACAGACATATGGAACAACAGACATGAAATGGAATCAAAGACACCATGTGGTTATTTTCATTAAACACCCCCCCCCCCCCCGCCCCGCCCAATGAATTTACAGCACCTACTGATTCAAGTGGGGTGTATATAGTACAGGACGATGTGTAGTCTTACTTTTAAAGTATATTATGTGGTTCCAAATCTATTTGTGAACTTTAATTTTAATTATCATTATTTTTGCACCAGATTGCTATCTATCGTTAAATTAGAGCACGATTGAATTTATAGATACTGATGGATAAAAAAGTAAATACCTCTAAGCGAGCTCTGTCAACATCTTTGGGTAGTCGGTAGTTAGTGGTGAACAAGGATTCAATCGGGTAAATCTACAAAGACAAGACATGATTTCACTTTATTGTTGATGAAATACTATAATATTGCATATTAAATGCTATGTTTTTTCAGTGATAAAGGAATGTATTTGTTTTATTAACCAACCATATATAATCCAATGTCAATTTTAAACTATGGTGTTTTCAAAAACTAAGGGAATAAAGCATTGATAAGCAAATGCTATAAAAAGTACTGGATGTGTGATTTGAATTAGTGACCACCCAGGAACTATAATCAACTGTAGGTCAGTATCACAAGACTGGTTACCAACCAGAGCATGAGACTAACTGATTCATGACCCGGATTCATGGCTCTGGTTCAGCATTTATTGAAACAAACATAGTGTGAGATATGGCTGGATACAGGCGGACACACGAATGGTCAATCCACAAGTCCCTGTTTTCAGACTTTTTCGGAATGGGTCCTAAATATCTTTTATGAAAATGGAAGCTGGGACCAAGCTGGTATTTTTTATAAATTAAAATCAACTTTCATTTTGTCTGGTTATTCCAGTTTTTAAGAATGTTGGATCGTTGTTTAAAAACAGCCAATATTTAATAACTGAAATGATTTCACACTATGAAACTATACTGTTCATTGTGTCTTTAAAAATTAACAATATTTTATTTCAATGATACTGCTTTGAAGCTAAGTTTTTAATTTCACAAAATTGTATGTTGAATTTTCACGCATGACACCATACACAACTTGTTGATAATGACAACACATACCACTCTATCAATGTCAGTCATGTCAGCCATAGAAAGGCCTTTTGCTGTCATATTCGGCATAGATAACACCTTTATTCATGTCACTTCGTAGGTATGATAGTCCTTTGTTATGTTGGTCCTTTTCTGCCTGTAAACGATGTTAGGATCACCAATGATATGTGGATTACAGGGTTAGAAAATTAGTAATTAACAAATACTATGATCAATTAAACACACATAGCAAACTTTCAAACGCTGATTGGCCAACAGAATACAGTAAAATCAGCCAATCACAAACAAGCTACATATTCCCAGCATGCTTCAGTTATGGAAAATGAACTACATAAGCTTGAAGTGTTGTGATGGCTGCAATATTAGTGCATAGCATGGACAATTATTATAGCTTGTAGACTGGTTCTACAGTTCACTGTCTATGCAATTCACCACACAGATAGGGATGCTTGAGAATCTTTAAGATTGTCAGAGAAACATTATAAAAATTCTGTTTAAAATAAAATCATAAAGTGATCACATTTCATTTGCGATATTTGGGGAAACAGTATGATTTCATTTTAGATTGAAAGACTGTTTTTTATTTCAAACAGAGGCTTAAATAATTTATTTTATGTTATGTACTAAAAATTTGTTCTATTAGGGGGGGGGGGGGTAATTTAACTTGATGGTATGTGCAAGTATCTACATTAAATTTGGCAGAAAAAAAAAATTGGCAGGGATATTTGTATAATCCCATACATGTACAATGTTTCTCTGACACAATGTTATTTTCACAATGTATATTAATAAGATATGATATGAACAATGACTAGATAGCATAGACACCCAAGCATGCTATTATCACACTAACCCACATTATATAGTGATTGCATGACCTCCGCTAACCTTACATGACAAGTTGGGCTAAATTAAGTAACACTTAAACTTTGAATCTTAGCTACTGAAAATTTACTAGTCAGACAACGATCAAACAAAAACAACTATAGAGTTCATTGGTGTATCACAAACTAGTTTATATTATTTTCTGAAACTGCAATCAAAAGTAAATTTTCAAATTGGAATCAAAGGATTAAACATCCTAACATATATAGTGTCATATATTTAGCAACAATAATTAATTATATTTTAACATTCCAAAATACAAGAGGCAATATTATTATACTAAATATACATTACAACACCCATGGTTATATATTGACATATAATTTGGGTGGCAGGGGAGGTACATCACAGATGCGTGCATTTAAATAACCCAGAGCAGTTTTGATTATATACAAACGATGCAATGACAATGTTTGGTTGTTTTTATATGATAATTTATGCATGACTAATTACGGCTACAAACCTTCGATGATTGCAATCTTTCTAGCAACTACATATGGATCCCCCAACACAACAGCAACAAAGAAAAGAAAGAAATATTAGCAACTTTTGAAATAATAACTAATAACTAATAACATAAATAATTTGTCATGATATGATTGCAATGTACAGCATCTAAAATGCCATGGACTAGCAAACATTAGAGAGCATCGTAAATACCATATTCTTTTATTTTTCTATTTATTATTGATTTTAATATTTTATTTACTCTGCCAGTATATATTTTGAGGAACATGCTTTGTCTCCTGTGAGAGCTAGTGTGGGGTATACAGACAGGATAGTTGGGGGTCGAGTGGGTAGAAGGTATAATACTAGGAGGTTCCGGGGGATGTATATAATCTTACACACAAAGGGATGGTCAATTACAAGGTCAAAGTGCAACAAGCATTAATGCTTTGAAGCTGCTATTCATAGCTGAAAAAATCCAGAATTGTGAAAATTTCATGATGTTGTACACTGAACCAATATGAGAATTTCGAAGGGGCAGGGTCACTAAATATTTTTGGAGTAAAAATATTTTTTAGGAACTACAGCCAGACTTGAAAGCTTTTTTTATCAAGAAAACATCTCCATATCTCATTTTTGCATGGTAACTAGGGTGACCTAAGTATTAAGTTTCATGACAGGATACTTCGTCTTGAATTATTTTTTTTAAAAAAGAAGTTTTAGAAATTGGTTAAAAAAGTAATAATGATTTATTATCGATTTTGATGGAAACATTCCTTAAATACCGGTAAGTAAATTTTGCATATTATTGGCAAATCTTTTCAAAAATATAGTTTCGTACCTCACAACAAAATTTTTTAAATTTATATCAATTTTCTCCAAAATTATGAGCAGGCTCCTACATTAATTGAAATATATTGAAACAAACAAAAATATCAATAATGATCTCACAACCTGCAATGTACATACGACCACCCCTCTGTGTGGATCAGTATCTACGGTACCAACTAAAAACATTTCATACAATGGGTAAGTACAATATACTACAATACATGCAATTCAATGTACAAGAACTGTTAATTTTTAGACCCAGTAAAGACATTAATATGATTTCTGGTCATATCAATGGAATTGTATTTTTGTGAGAAAAAATTTGAGAGAGCTAATTTGCAGGAACTGAAAACTGAAAAACCCTCTCAAGAGATGAGAGTATAAATAACAATATGTTGACCAGAAACAGAAAAATATTTTTGTGGGGTCAGTATTAGTTCTGTAAATGACGTTAGTGAATATAAAAGTTAATGAATGAAGGAAAACATTAGTGCGAGAAATAAAATGATTTGTTACAAAATATTATACCTCTACATCTGAAATCTTTGCAACTGTAAGTTCAGGCTGCATACCAGTGAAGATAAAGTAAAATACATTGTTAGTAAGAGTAGTTACATGGAGTCAACACCCGCAGTAACACATTTGAATACAACAAAATATTCATGTTGTGACTGCCAACACATCAAACCAATACCTGACCAATATTATTTTTTTTTAATAAATTTATGGAAATTATGAAATTAATACCAAGTGTACCCATTGAACTGTAATGTACTACTAGAGTGCATTGTTGTGATAAGTCTGTCCATGTCATTATTAAAATGTAACTGATATATATATATATATAGCAATACCAGTACATAGGAAATCAACATCAACCATGGAAAAACATGGTTATTTTTAATATCTGACATTTCAATACAAACAAAACATCAACAATAATTTTCAGCTTAATTGTTTTTTTTTGTGTGTGTACAATATCCTATGGCACCATGACAGACAGTGGTTCAACCTGCACAGCATTGCACCTGAGTCAATTTAATAATACTCTGTGCAAACAAAAAAAGATTTAGTTGACTTGTTCCCTAGACATTCCACAGATAATGTATGCCCTAATAGACTGTGATGTATGTTAATTAGCCCTTTGTTAAAGAAATAATAGTGACAAAATGAATAGCAACACTGTCTGACCTTTTTGACCTAAATGACGTCAATCAGAATAAAGTTAACATGAGATCATCAACGAATTTAGCAATTTTTTATTTTTAAATTGACTATCATCATCAGTACATCTATTAATAATTTGTGTGCACATGCACAACTCTAACTGGAAGTTCAAGTTCATTCCGAAATAATTTTGGAATCTACCGCCAACCTGGTCTATATGACTATGACCAATCATTTTTGGTCTAGAGCCCTAGCTGAACTCCAAAATAACATTACCTATCACCTTTATGAGAACAGATTTAGCATTGCTATTTTGTGCTTCACTATTCCATCTCATGCCAGGTTTGTAGTAATTAAACTACATGTACTGTGTAGGGCTTAATCATTCACTGAGTTTTATTTTTGCTTATTTTAAAACCTAATGATTTTTTTCCTTTACAAACCAGTAAATTTAAAACCTAGTGAATATCCCTCAAACATCAAATCCCATGATATTTTTCCTACGATATTTCTTACGCCCTTTAAATTGTTTACGAATAACAATGGACAAACAACAATGGAGATCTATCTATTCACGACTTTTAGTTGGTCTAAAAATAAGCATGAAAGGAAAAGTAACCATGCTATAGTTAAACTGAAAATCAAACATGACATGTTTCTAAGAACTGCATCACAGCAGTATTTGCTGTCTGGGAGCCTATTTACAAATAAAGAAAACCAAAATGAACTCCATACAAATTAATTTGTGTGACAAAATAATTGTATGTTGCAACAGAATTCAACTTAAAAAACCAAGTAAGCTTAAAACTAGAGAGCGATGGTAGGCTGAAATAAAAATTACATAATACTAGTAATCCAATGGAAGTGATTTAATGAGAAAGCTTGTAATCCCTGGGAAAGTACTGTAGAATTGTGGGAAAATTATCTGGGTGTGTAACACCCAAATCAATTCATCCTACCAAGATTAACCACATACCTTTGGAGGGCCGTTAAGATATGGTAATGAGCGTCCCCTGGCAATTCTTGCTTGTCTGAGTTCATGATCAGACATAGAATTCTTCCTGTTGTCATATGGTTCTGGAGATGTCCCTTTGTGATTGTAAGAATCGGAGTTGTATGCAGAATCTGAAAGACAATATTAATAATGACAACATATTTACATTGACTGTTTGTACGATTCTGCAAAAGTTGTTTGTTTATTTTGAAAAAAAGTTTTTGATGTACATTATGTGATAGACATATGATTTCAACATGCATGGTTACGACAACTATTAATTGCCATCATTATGTACTTGGCCATATTTTTCCATTGAGGTATGCGTTGAATTATTATACCAGTATAGCCTGGTTACGAACTTGCTGTTTTTTTGTTGTGCTTCAGTCAGTCAGCAAGTACCGTGATTGAACACACTATTTATCCTAACATAACTGAGTAATACCAACACATTCAACCTGGTTAGACTGACCAATTCACTGCGGAGTATATGATGCAAAGTTGAAACAACGCAACTTCTGGTTTAGTTCCTGACATGGACATGACTGATACACCTATCGTGTGGTAGTTTACAGTAGTCTAATGCAAAGAGAAGCCAACACTATATACCGCCCTCACCAGGTCAAGGTATAAATCAGTGTCAGGAATACATTGGGAAAATGGAAATCAAATCAGTCAATTATTTTAAAACAATTTGTTGATTATCATAGTTGATCTATTACCGTAGCAGCTTACCTAAGTGACAGAGGTGTGTGGTATCTATGGCCAAAAGTAAGTATACTACTATAATATTATTCAAGCATAGAATAAATGCAAGTTTTGGCAAATCAGATTCATAGATGGGGAAAATCAAAAATTTATTGTTTATGATTCATACACCTGCAGTGACATCTGAATTTACCATACATGCATGGTACTCCTAAATTATGCTGAAATGAAAGTGAATTAATCCAGACTATACTTTCTTTAGGTGAATTATTTACTGCATGCCTGTCATTAATTCATATAACACAATGATAAAAATGTTCACCTGGTTCGTCATGGTAACTCTTTGCTCTCTCCCTTGGATTATAGGTTCCATTCGGCTGGAGAATATAGGCATTATCATTGTCGTTAAAATCTGTGGATTTACTGTAGTAGTAGAAGGAATCGTTCTGGAAATAGGAAACAAAATGATAAGAAGAAAGCATTCAACAGCTTTCAACTACAAATGAAAAGGACAATTTCATTGAACTATTCAGCTATGACTTGTCCGTATACATGTACATTGTACAGCTGATCCTGGTCTTGAATTTCTGAATTTAGATGACATGCCATTTCACATCAAATAAATTGTACAGTTTTTATGCTTGTTATTCATGATATAGTGATATGATTTTTGGTTACAGTAATCTAGTGATCTGACAACAACTAGCACACTAGTGAAAATAAACTTTGGTTGAGCAAAAAACAAACAAAAGTATTTCAATTTCTCAACTCCAGAGCAAAGTTGTTACAGTTACTGTACATGAATCTTGTAAATGGGGCCG